TTTTTCTGCTCAACCTGTGCAGAAATGAAAATGAGAAGGATGTCTTATAGAAACCTTCAGGGTGGACGAGATGAGCATCCTATAAGTACCATTCACATGGACACGAATGAATCTATGAAAACCATGGGTGTGTATGGAACTTTAGGAACAATACGATACTTTCTGACCATAATTGATGACAATTCTTCGTGGCGTTGGACATACGTACTACGAAATAAAGGAGAGGTCAATGGCAAAGTTAAATCGTTACTCTTGCAGAGGGTAAGTTTACAATTCGACGCATAAGATCAGATGGTGGTACTGAGTTTGTAAATCAGGCCTTCAAAACGTTTTGTAAAGAAAAGGGCATAGTGTTTCAGATGTCAAACGCATACTGCCCAGAAGAGAACGGTGCAGCAGAGTGTGATCATCAAACCAAAATGAGTAAAGCTCGCTGTGCACTAAAAGATGCCGGTATGGCTGGACGCTGGTGGCCAGAAGCGCTTATGTACATGACGTATGTGCAGAATAGGACTCCAATGAGCCGTTAAGGAAACAAGACACCATATGAAATGGTCTACGGCAAGGTCCCAGACGTTAGTGATCTTCATATTTGGGGTGGCATATAATTTGCACACATACCAGAAGAGGTACGGAAAGATAAGAAACTATCTTCTCGTGCCGTTAAGTGCAGATTCTTGGAAATATCAGATGAGTACAAAAGCTACAGACTACTTGATGTATATAATAATAAGTTCATTCACTCTCGAAATGTAATGTTTGATATACAGCAGAGTACTAGCTTAATAATGCGTGCTTTCGGAGAAGCAGCAAACACCAATGATTAGAACAACAAATTTACTCAAACAGTGGGAGAATCTAATGAGTAACTAAAGATACCTCAAGCTGAAATAGCGCCAAATCGAAAGAGAGGGTTAGTGGAAGCAGTGGGAGTAGTTGCTAAGACACCAAAGCGAACGCGGCGTGAGATGAGACGGCTAGCACCTTTCGGGGACTATGTGTGCTTCCAAACACAACTGGATAAAGTCATTGTAGATGATATGGTCCAAAATAAGATCCCAATCCCGCGAAATGTAAAAGAAGCTTTAAAGAGTCCATATGGTAAGCAATGGCGCCAAGCGCTAGACCTCGAGTACGATTCTCTTATCGATAATGGCACGTGGGAACTTGTGCGACTACCACCTGGCAGAAAAGCTTTACCATGCCATTGGGTACTTGTGGTAAAATATCATGCGAATCGGGTTGCTGAACGGTTTAAGGCGAGGCTAGTGGCACAAGGGAATCACCAAGAATTCGGTGTTGATTGTGATGAGGTGTATGCGCCAGTAGCACGATTTGAATCACTAAGACTCGTATTAGCTATTGGTACTATATTGAGCTGTCACATTCATCAGATGGACGTTCATACAGCATTTTTAAATGGAACAATGGAAGGGAATACGAAAATCTATATGAGACAGCCTCCTGGGTATCATATCTCCGGAAAAGAGGGATTAGTATGCGAGCTTAAAAAGAGCATCTATGGGCTCAAACAAGCACCCCGAATTTGGTACCAAGTCATTCATAAGTTTCTCACAAAGTTAGGTTTTGTCCGGTGCAACAAAGAGTTTTGCATCTACGTACAAAAAGTGGGGGATGAATGGATTATCATTGTAGTATATGTTGATGATTGTATTTATTTTGGTTTCTATTTACAAGGGATTTAGTAGAAGAAGGACGTTTGGTTGTTGAATACTGCCCCACTACAAGTATGGCAGCAGACATCCTTACAAAGGCTCTTCCTACAAAGCAGTTTACAATACTAAGAGACAAAATTGGAGTAAAAGACCTTCTGATATCGATGAACACTTAGTGGGGGTGTTAGAATGAGTATTTAAGGGATGGTATAAATACCAGTGAGCCTACCGGTAAGTGGGAAGTGTCCACCGGTCAAATAGGCGGCTCTGTAAAAGAATCCATCATAAGACACAAATAAGTAGCCAAATAATTAAAATAAACAGCCTGCACAGGGGAAGCCCTCTGCAAGTGGAACCACTCGCGCGATGATGGTCCGGCTGGTAAAGGAGTTCACTTCTCCTTTTGCCAGCGACTGAGCGCATCAGTCTATAGGGGCATTAAGAGAATAAATATAAGCATTAAGTTTAAACTTAAACTGGTCGTTTAATAGCCACAAATAAAGAATTCTGTAAGAGTAGATCAGCGAGAAAATGGCCAGAAACCTTCGTGGAAATGTAGACTCGAACCGCTTCGTATTCTTTGCTTACGCTCCGACGTCCTGTACAGTTGGGACTTTATATTTTCCTGGCTGTAATGATAAAATGTGTAATTACATTTACCAGAAAGAAGGATGTCACTAATCAGAAAACCGACGACAAATGCTTTTGTTAGAGACTCTTGAGAAGACTGAAGTTGTCGCGTGCTGCGAGTTGGGCCCAATGGGTAGCACCTCAACACAAGCCACCACATCTACAATACAAATCGCCCGGTACGTGCCATCGTAAATGATAGGTATTATAGCGTGATTCGTCAGAGGACACTCGAATATTTCGGTGTTCGCGTGAAAAACGCCGTGGAGATGTCAAATGAACGTACGTAAATCAACTACCGTGCACGTACTTCTACGTTCTGCTAGTATATAAGCAAGAAGCGGAAAGGGCCGGGAGTAACGAGCTCTGTACGTCAGCGTTTTTCTCGGTACTTCTTATGGTAGAAGAGAATGGTCATGATGCAGACCAAATACTGGGCTTCTGGAAAGTCGAACCCCATGGGTCCTTCGTAACCGCTTTATTTGTTTGGTGCGGCTCACGAGCGATGCCTGGACAACGGATCGATTGATCATTTTTCGGTCTTAATGGCACAATAACGGAGAACCGGTGGGCTCAGAACAAATAAATATAATAGTACTGGGGGTTTCAGGAAAGACAATTCATTATTCCGTAAAACGGGAAACAGTAATATTATTTTCATTATTTTTTCAATTGCTGGATACATTTAGCCCCTATTAAACGCGAGCCAATTCCGTTATTGTCATTATTTTCCACTTTATTTATTTTTTCCGAGCTGAAGATATTAACATTATCTGCAGACTCTTACTTGTATATTATAAGGGTCGAAATAATTGAAGAAGTATAGAACTATGTACAAAAAACTACCATAAACGTTTGTATAAATTTTCCAGCTTGAAATCGCAATACTTCTGGCGAAAGCTTCCAATTGACCCACACCCAAGTCCTCGTTTCAGCTTGTGCTATAACTTGTAATAGCACAACCGAAACGTACCGTACTCCCTCCAAGGAATAATGGGAGCATCCCGTGATGCACCAGCAGCAGGAACTCTTCTGGCACTAGCCTTTTCGACTGATTTACGCTTGACACGCAAACTCATTTCTTCCACGTACGGAATTTCTTCTGCTGTGAAGGTACTCGGCCCTGTAGTCACCAGGATGTCTCCTCTGACAGAAAGTCGACCATTTTGTTGAAGCTCGATACAAGAACGTACATAATAGAAAGGAGATCCTTCTTCTAGCGACCAGTTGAGCATCTCGAGGAAGAGAATTAGTTGACCTGGTGCCTCGACGCGAATTTCACCAAAGTAATCTCCGTGAGAGCCCAATCCGGCACCTGTCGACATCCCATTCGGAAGCATCCGAAACACGCGTTCCTTGCCATCTAGTACCAGACTCATACAGTCAAGACAACCAGCCACACTTTGCGGTGTTCGTTCTCGAAATGACCTCCCTTGGACGTCAAGAGCTACCTCAACTCGGACAATCTGCGTCATCATCTCGACCATCAAAAAGAGTGACACGTTGGGCACTCTGGGGTCAGCATCCATCTTGCGACCGAAAGAGGAGCTAGCTTCGTTGATATCCCACTGCACGTCATCCGTGTCCAAGAGCCATTCTCCATTCCAGTTGCGCTCGACAGCATTGTGAGGAGGGAACGCCGTCTTTTGAGTGGCCTTACGATCGAGAGACTGTGGTGAGCTTGTAGTACCAATGTAAATATCTCGCATCTGAGCGACGAACATGTTCCACCCAGCGAAGCTTTGGCCACTTAAGATTTGCCGCACTAGAGGCCGACGACTGTGGAAACATTCATGCGAATACACCGCTGCAATCACCTGCTCTGCCATGTTGGTCAAGCTGTGCAGGGTGGAGGCTGCAAACACCTCTGCGTTCAAATGCTCCTCTAGTTCAAGTAAAAACTGAATAAAAAACGACCGGATCGCCTTCTTGTCCAATGTCAGAGCGGCGTTCAGGCGGAAAAACTCTCGAAACCAGCCAAGCGTTTCATGAGAGAGCAACCACAGCACCGTCTGAATAGCTACTCGAAGGAGAGTCTCCAGCTCCAGTGGGAGTGGACCACTGCCAGCAGCTCGTACACTCTCCTCTACGTGGGCATGCTGGAGTATTAACCGTGAGAAGAAGTCCAGATTGTCTTTGTTTGGGGTCGACCTGGACGTGTCAAGCAGTTTGAGTTTGATCGAGTTCACCACTTCGTCCACTAGCGGCGCATAAAGTCTGACAGGTACCCAGCGGACGAACGCGAGAAGTAGAGTCACATTCTTGGATACCGCTACGGCGGGTGCATTGACGTGCTCCCAGATTAATTTATCTTGCAGAGGGTGGATCATTCCCTGGTCGCTTGACCTTGGCGGAGTATGTCGACGTTGACGTTTGGCTTCATTTAGAAGATTCTCTTCATGAGACCCACCTGGGCGAGTAGAAATCCTCCCACTCCCTAGTGAGACGTCACGTGCGTGAGCGATTGGCATGACGCTCGCGTTATGCGCCGGTGAGTAGACACTTTGAGGAAGTATCTGTTTCGACACGCCCATTGCACGTTGAGTGCTGGGAGACGCACTTCCAGTTTGAAGTCCTAGTGGTTCTCCCTTCACTTGTTGCAGACTCTGTTGTGTAGCCAACCGCACAACAGCGTGTGCTTGTGCAGCTTGTAGTTGGTCCAGAGGAGCTCGTCGGAACGAAATGTCTTTAAAATCAGGCGACGAGACCACATGCAACACGCGGTACAACTGCGTGTAGGCCTCTCGACTTGAAATGGTCGTAAAATTGTCGTCCATGTCCACGGCGACGCGCTCCATCACATAAGTTTTTAGTGAATGCTTCATGAGCCTCTGCGCCTTGTTAGCACCGCTCTCCCAGTCGTAGTACCACCTCGGAAAAGCTTTACTGTTCAAGTGGAATACTACAGGTTTCTCCTCATCTAAAGCAGTATCTGAGCCTCTGATCGTGACCACCAATCCGGATGGCCGATCCAAGACCCCAGCGATCCACTGACCGTCTAGATTCGGCTCTGGCTGTACACCCTCTTGGATTTTATCTACCTCGACGCACTCTCCAGGTCGAAGACTCACATCATTGACTGCTTCGAAGCGGGCGAAGACGGCCAACAACTCACTAGGTGGAGGCTGAAGTGGGGCACTTCCAATCGGACGTTCCGCTAGTCGAATCTTCACACTCAGTGAGGATCCGCAATAACTTCGGTCAATATGCTCCGGACAGCAGTGCGGAAAGCAGCGCAGGATTTTAAGGCCCCTGGTGCGATTGCTCCTAGTTGAAGATAAACAAAATGGTCAGTCGCTACGAGTATCACCGCATGAGAATCACTCTCTCATGCGTATGCAGAAAGTGAAAGTGGACAGCGCTACGCGATTACAGGGCCTTACCGCTTGTACTCGGAATGAAAGAGTTGTTCGTGACCGCACTCGAGGCAGAAGTAGCTACAGGCGGCTACACGTAGCGGCGGCGATGGCGACGCCATGTGTTTGGCTGATGATCTCTCGGTGTCTTTCTGGCAACTGAGGAAGGTCGACGGTGGGTCCCTTGAGGTTGCAGGATCGGGGTTCGTTGCTTATATGGGGGAGGTGAACGCAGAATACAGAAAATCACATACATAAACTGTTCAACATTAAATGGCGAACTCCTTTCTGTGAATTTTCTGAAAAGCTAAGCGCGCGTATTTATCACTGAAAAGCTGACTACAACTCCATTTTATAAAGCTGTTACTAGAGACAACCCGGCAACTATTCACAAAATTGGGAAGCCGTATAAATGTCATTTCTTCATGTAGAATGCGGAAGCAAATCTTACTTATACGCCGCACGTTAGCCAGCTACGGCTATTGTGCTAATACTTTAGCTGTCTGGAAGCAAGCAATCCGTCATGTACGATTGAAGTTTCCGGGGCTGTAATGCAATGGATGTATCTGGCGGCATGGTGGACACGCAATACACCACGAAATAACGTTATCGAGATGGCGGCGTGACAGGCGGGAAGATGTGCATTTGATTGTCAAGCCTTCCAGTACTCGAGTACATTTACACCATTCAGGCTCGTTTAAACAAGGTCAATTTTGCTGGAGCTAACCGAAGGCAAACATCCCTTCGTAATTTGCTGGCGAGCCGTAAAGAGTAATACTCATCGGCCATTAATATCCTCTCTCGCTTTAAAAACTAAGTGTCGATGATTTGAAAAGTGTTTGGCGTCACATGACGAATGTCCTGTTTATATTTTTATTCTACTATTGCAAAAATTGTCGACAATGGACACCTGTCACCTTAACGCGGTTTTGGCAACCAATATCCAGGTCTCGGGCAAAAACCGTTTCACTCGGAGAAATACTTACTACTTTTTATGCAGCACCATTGTCTAATTTTATGCAAAGAAATTAATGGTCGATACGGCTACCGCATGTTATGTAGCTTCGTAAAACACGATTAAATTGGTAATGCAAATGTCTACTTTGCGGACGTATTCGAAGCATCCATGTCTTGCAAACACCATTGAGGGTTTTAAACATTTTTTTTTGGAAAAGTTACTGATCCGCCATGGTACACAGCACTACTAGCTACAGCCTAATTCAATGACCTACACTGCGTCATTTCTGGTTATAAGCGCGGGGCTCGCTTCTTTTAGTTCTTTCAATTAAGCTTTAAATCCGCTGCGGTCTAGGACACAGCGACGACATATATCTGCTCGGAAGAAAAAGGCTGTGGTATACTATGTCATCACATGTGCACGCTTCCGGAGAGTTGGCTCCGTGATTGTGTTTATTTAAACCGTTGTTAAAGTAGATCAACGATACAGCAAGGTCTCCTAAGTCCAGCAAGTTTCGTTCATGTATGTGCCATCCTAGATCTGATACAAAGGCCCCACGCATTCTTTTTAATTATAGGAGAAATAAAAAAGTCGAAAGTGGGACTGTAAAGCAGATCACTTATCGGATCCGACTATATAATCTTAACTACGTTACGAAATTAGATCGTATTATTGTGATGAACACACCAATCAAATCGTCATGACCGCGCACGCAAGTGGGTAACTTGTGTTGACATACCGTCCACCCGGAAATTGTAAATTTGAGAAAATCACGAAGGAGTTCGGTCGATCAGGGCTTCGGTTTGTGTACCCTACCTAAATTGCGATTCAGGGGTTGTAATAGAAAATAGCTGAGCATATCTCCCGAGGAGCTTGATAGTGTTTCTATAGCTCTGAATGATTTCTAGAACGTCGCCTTCTAAAAGGGGTCTCAGATGGTAGCCTAATCAATCAACAAATCATGAAGGAGTACAACGTTTTTATTAATACAAAACCGCACTTGGTCTGTTCCACCACCCGATTTGCTCGCGATATTAAGGTGTAGTATACTGGAGAGTGGAATGCGCAGCTCGCACGTGAGATCGGCCCTGGGCCCACCTCCGATAATACCGCGCGGACAGGCTTCGTGGGCACCCCGCTCGCCTGCGCTAACAGTGGCTCCGCGCGCTCGAGTCCGCTTGTTTTAGTTAGTCTGGAGCGTTATTGCAGGTACTACATTGACCTGCGTATTGGAACAAGCATCATCCATCTACCCGCAATAACCATGTACGAGTCCTACACATGGTCCAAAACCGTAAGATATGTTCTTAGATACAGAGCCGCTTTATGACTCTATTAGTATCTCCTGCCTTTCAACCCCTCTAAGAGTATCTCCATCCGGTCAGCAAAAACTATAACAGCTGCACCTCTATTAATAACAATACGACGTCCTCAAATCACCATCATCATCTACACTGCATAAAAGCTAGCAGTATGTCATTTTGATAAACAAAACTTAACAAACTTGTCATCCAATATCGGAGTGAGCCACGTCACGATGCGTTTTTGCCAAGGAGCGTTACCAGGATTGGGCCTACGTAGCTCTCTACTATGCACGTCATCACGAGCACCTCCCTTAGAATGACGACGAAAGCGATCCTTCGGCATGCTACCAATAGGTCTCTCCTCCAGCACCGCAATTCTGATGAAAACAAGGTCAGAAGTCGGTGTGAACACTAACGAAGAGCTTATAAAACGTACTGAAATTCCAAGGAGATCTGGGTGTGACCAGAAAAACGCTGTCACCAGTGGGGAAACTCTGTTTTGAAATTATCTGTAAGTCCTAGTCTATGAATTTACCTTTGACGTAATGACAGAACTTTCTATGTTAATTAACCCCGATCTACACTTTATGCAGCAGCACAGAGCGTCAAATCGCTAAATATTTACACAGCATCCTTTTATTCGTCGCCTATGTTAATTCTCCCTCCACGGTGTCATGTTGTCACCAGTGGGGAAGCTCTGTTTTAAAACTATCTGTACAGTAAGTCCTAGTATATGAATTTACTTATGGCGTAATGACAGAGCTTTCTATGTAAATTTAACCCGGATCTCGTACCACAACACTTTATGCAGCAGCACTGAGCGTCAAATCGCTAAATATTTACACATCATCCTTTTATTCGTCGCCTATGCTAATCCCCCCTCCACAGTGTCATTCTGTCAGTTGCGATACATTTTCCACTGCTCTTAAGAGACAGCGAAATATGTTTCTACTGCTAAAAGAAAAACACCAAAACTTCCCGTATTGAAAGCTGCCGACTTGATACACAGCCCCATAATCAACGAACTCCCACACCCGCGTACATAGGGGACAACATGACCAACTTGGTGTCCGAGCTGAATTTCAAGTGAAGCACACACTCAGAAAGACAGAGGGACCAGTGGAGCCAAGCTGCAGTGGTGGTTGCGAAAGGTTTGCATACCAATTATTTTCCCACTGAAATGACTGAGTAAAGCGATGTGTAGTCGCCTCATCAATGTAGCGCGAGCAGGTAAAGCCTTGCCTTCCCGTGTCATTAGTATTTTACATGCCGAACGCCGGCGCTACGCAACGGTAGTTTAGGTTTATCTGGTTGCTTGCACTCAAGCCTCTGCTTCGCTTCGTCGTGATAGCTATTCCAAGACCTCTGAGTCCTTATGAGCCTAAATCGACTTCTTTATATCCCAAATCGGAGTTTAATTTAGACCAGTCGCTACAAAATGCTGATATTCCAGTAAGTCGTACAATTAGTTCTAAGTCCCCAGCATCATGCTTACCATGCTTTCAAAAGATTATTCTAGTGATCTTTACAGAGTCTTATTAATTTTGCTGGCTAACACGGTATCTTCAATTTCCACCCAGCACCACCTGCACTGCGAAAAGCATAACTACACAGTATATTTAGTTTAGCGTCGTGCTCGATATCACGGCGAATGAAGCTTAGCCCCCATCAACGCAAACGAAAGTAATAGCTTGTCCAACTTGCACTAAGTACCCGCTTGTACTGCCGGTATGAGCTTGAAATTAACTAAATTATGCTAATTTATCATCCAAAACTAAAAACAATATTTAAATTGAAACATCTTCATGTATTGAAGTGCGCTCATTCGGTGCTTAATCCAAATTAGCCATTAGACTCTCGAATCTACGAGCTACGACTACAGCATTTGGATACCGTGTCGCAAGACGCCTCGATGTTCCTGTTGGCGGCGGTGATTTTTATTTATTAGTTTAAGGAAGATTCTAGGATGGCTTAACGTCAATTAGGCTGTAAGGATAACGTTTCATTATGGGGTCTAATTACCCAACCATAATTTGTGTCTCTCATGTTGTGTTGTTGTCTTTTCGCTTCATCTAAACCTTTATCCTACGCCCTTGTCGACGACACGTCCACCAGTCAAGTAGTATCAGATTTGGTTGTCTAAGCAGCTTTTAGAAAACAATGGCCAAGTTTAATTCGTTTACAGTAGTAATTCTCACCAGCACTTATAAGCTCTTTTCATTCAATCAGAGACTATCTATCGGTTTGGCGCAAGCGACATCGTTTTGCTTAGCACAACGTGGTTCGTACAGTTGGAATACGACATGGCAGGTCAGCCAGTTACATCACAGAAACACACTCAGGTAGCATAATTTTACCGACGTAGCATCATTGCTTTTATTTTAGTCGATGCTTGTCATGGTAACTCGCCGGTGCGTAACTCGGTCAGAAACCTTTGAGTACAGACAATTACGTATATTAATAGTGGTCCACGGAAACACGCATTCCTACGTGTACGCTAAGCCCCTTACATCATTGAAAGCAATCTTTCAGTTATAGCACTCGAACACTAAGAGTAGCATTTATTATTATAGAGTAATTAAAATAAAAACGATACCGCCTTCGGATAATGAATAAGCTGGTACAAATCTCCATATGTACAATGTAAGCCACATGAATGAATGACGTAAGCTACATCATCCAATCTTAGCCAATAGGAGCCACCTTCGCTCCGCTCGGCAGCCAATGCGAATATTAAAAAAAATATGAGCGTTTCGTTTGACGGACGGACATACCCTATGATAGAGTTTGTAGTTTAGGGTTTTACTAGCGCTCTGGCCGCCCGCTGCGCGGACGCCAGGACGTGGTTGATTGTCGTAGA